TAAGTTTTATCTGCTTTCTTGTCTAACATTGCTGGTAGTTCATATGCTTCAAAGTTTCTGGCATGATCTTCGGTATTCCTGCAACTTTATTATTGTTAAGAGTATCTTTTACGCTTGTACTGGATTTCTAAAGGTGCACTTGAACCAAGGTCAAAGTTCAATATTATGTCGTCTGCTCTAACAGTAGTGAAGGATTTATGTGTATGGTTCTTGTCTGCTTTCTTGTCATATAAATCTTGAGCAGTGAATTTAATATTATGTTCATCCTTCATGACATAAACATCTTTACATCTAATGTTTCTCATCGTCGTTATGTCGTCATCCGATGTTAAACCTTGTGGAAAGTTAGGAGGTTTACAATATAATGCATCCCCACCAGTTTCTTCAACCGTTCCTTCAATACTTTCTATAGCAACAGTTGTGAAGGATTTATGTGTATGGTTCTTGTCTGCTTTCTTATCTAACATTGCTGGTAGTTCATGTGCTTCAAAGTTTCTGGCATGACTTTCAATGTTCCTGCAACTGTTATCTAAACTGTTAAGAGTATCTTTTACGCTTGTACTTGGATTTTCTAATGGTGCACTTGAACCAAGGTCAAAGTTCAATATTATGTCGTCTGCTCTAACAGTAGTGAAGGATTTATGTGTATGGTTCTTGTCAGCTTTACTGTCTAAAGAAGTTTGAAGTTCATTTATATCGGAGATGTTGTGTTTATGAGATTTCAAAACTTTGTTCGTTGCGTCAAGTTCAACTTTGTCAGCTTTACTTTTAATAGCATCTTCAAACGTTATTTTTGCCTTAACTCTTAACATAAATCTTGGTTCAACTAATACACCATTAACAGAGAAAGTAGAGGCATAAATTTCATCGTTATAACTAAATGCTTCTGGTGCTTTACCTGTGTCATACTGTACAGTACAGCTTATGTCATAACCTTTAGCACGAATGTATTTATATCTTCTTTCATTAACATTTTTTGTCTTCGCTTCATCACTTCGTGTTAAATATCCATGGTAGTCCGTTATAATCTGTTCGTCTGAAGTTATATAATGAACGTGGTTTTTATCTGCTTTTTCGGCTAATTTCTCATTAACATCATTCACTTCTAATTCAACTCTTCCGCCAGAACTCTTATTATCATTAATCTTTTTCATTAATTCGGTAATTACGTCATAAAGACTATATTCTGTTTTCGGTTTTGTAAATAATGAGTCAAAATTTCTTTTCATCATTACATCGCTGACATTAATGATATCACCAATTCCTTTTTCATTTATTCTCTTCATTAATTCTGCAATAATGACGAATATATAATCTGTTAATTTATTCTCTTCATCGAGGGTTATAGAATGTTTTGAAATTGAATCATTAACTCCTCTAAATAAATCAATAACTTCAGGATACACGTTTTTAATGTCTTGAATAACCCGACCAGTATCCTCGCCACTATGTGGCTCTGAGCCCGTTGGGCTCTGTTGTTCATGTTCTTCGTTCCCGTCGTTACGTGGTTTTATATCTCTAACCATCATCAACGCAGCCATAACCGGAGGGTTTGTTGCTACCTGTTCGAAAATCCGTCCGTTATGTATGGTATATCTAAATAATTTCTTTGTGTTTGTTAAAACATTTGAAACAAGTCTTTTAAAACCATCTACAAAATTTCCTGTTTCACCTAATGTTCTTGCAGCATTTACAAGCTCACCCATTCCCGCTTTTGACCCCAAAAACGTCCATATTGCATTTATTTCACTCTGTATAGTTGTCCATTCAGCGAAACTAACACCCGCATTCGCTAAGCTGAAAATGAAATTCAGTGGATCGAACTTAATTCCACCTTCTTTTTCAATTTCAACGAACTCACTAACATGAGATTTTAAATATTCTTTCGTTAAAATTGTTTTCCCCGATGTTATGTCATTAACGAAACTATCACCGTCAAAAGTTAACGAATTCAATTTCGTCGTTGATGCTTTTATTTCATACACCGCTTTATCGATAGTTTTTGGCTCACCTTCTTTAGAAGCATATGAAACATTAATGAATGAATTATATGTATTCGTGAATGAATTAAAATCAATGATTTTCATTAATGACGCCTTTAATGATTCATTAACTGTTGAATCCCTTAAAACAATTAATGAACTGTCATGGGCTTCGCCCTGGTCGCTTCGGTCTGAAAGACCTTCAGGACTCAAAGAGTCCGTTTGCGACTTTATGAAAGGTACACTGCAAACCGTCGAGTTTGGATCAAATGCTGTAGTTGGTGCAGGAATATTAATGATATAAGTCATTAAATCATTAAGTGACGTAAATAATGTTGTCGTTTTTGATTTAATTTCTTTAGCATCTGTTATATATGGTAATTTTATTTCTGTAGTTTCTGAATTAAAGATATTCGCTAAAATGTTTTGTAAACTGTTTTGAACAGCTGTGTAAACCGTTGAATTCGGAACTCTTACGATTTCACCATCCTTAATAAAAGGCATTGTACATGACGTAGTGCTTGGGTCAAATCTTTCGGGATTATAATTCAACATATATTCTAACGCTTCATATACAGACCTATAAACAGTTGTGTCGTTCTTCATGACAACTTCACCATTTACAATGAATGGCATAGTGCATGGAGTTAAAATAGGGTCAAACTTTTCATAGTCCTTCCATGTTATGTATTTCTCGGTATTTCCATCAGAAATAACAATATATTTGTCAGTAAGTGTGAGAGAGTATTGACCAAAATATAAACGTTTAGCTCTGTCAGCTTCATACGCATATGCAGCAATACTCATATTTTAATGAGAATAAAATGTTGTTCTATTTGCAAAGTACAGACCCAAACGAATACGGGACAGTAAAGCTACAAACAAACTTAGGTCTTCAGAATGAAGCGCTTGCTTTCAGAGTTGTTGACTTCAATACTATCGCTTCATTCGTTATAACAGATGAAACAGATTTCATGGAGCTTGAAATAGATGGAAAGAAGCACGAAATAAGATTTCACAATAATGTAGAATATAAGATGGAAACATTAGCTGGAGTGTTAAATGCGCTCATAAATACTACAATAAACAAGGAGAACGAAGAAAACTTAATGAATGTTAAACTTATTGCAGGAGTTTTGAAGTTCAGTTATGCGAAGGAGTTTAAGATAACACGAATGAGTCATAGAGTTCAATTGCTTCTGGGAGCATACCATATGACATGTCCTTTGAAAAGTGTTGACAAAACGATTGAGATGAAATCTGTTCCATACGTATGTTATGGTAATTGTTTATACGTTGAGTCAAAAATAGCTAATGTCACAGGTATTTCAGGAGTTAATAGTAAAGGTTCAGTAGAATATAAATCCTTCTGTTATGCAGTCAATTCAATGTTCATTCCAAACGTTCCTGTCATAGTAACTCATTTAGGTAAATGGGTTCGCATTAGTCCTCATAATTTGAAAGACATGCAATTCAGACTTGTTGACTTTCAAGGAGAGCCTGTAGAACTGAAGGCACCAGTGCGAATGACTGTTGAAGTTGACTTTTTAGAAAATATTAAATGCAACAGCTTACAAGAGAACTCAGAGCTAAAAATATAAAGTATGAATGTTATGTATTAGGTCATGAACTTTGGTTATTGCTGTTTGATGAAACAAATGAGTTAGTTATGTCAGTCAAGAGAACAGAAAAAGGCGTCAAAGGCGCCGAGCGCAAAGCGCTATATTGTGTTAGTGAAAACTGCACCAAGTCAATAAGATTAGGTTTGCATTATGAAGATGAGTTCGATACTGTTGAAGAAGTTTTGGATAGATATTACAAATTGCTTTAATTTACTAAAACATATTTCAAACAAAGCTTATATTCTGTTGAAAGTTTTGTATACTCGTTCGAATATTTATACTTAAACTCAACTCCTGTAGTTCCTGGTGTTTCAATGATGCGGATGTTACCTATTTTCATGAATGGTGGCGTTTGACCACAGCATTCGATTTCAGGGTCGAGATAGTCAATGACACATTGTTTCCCTGTTATTCGTGATATAACATTTTCAAGGTCCTCCTTTGTTAGAATTATTTGGTTCTTGCTTATAAGATTTGTCAAAAGCTTCTTATCGTCTTTGAGTAAAATTGTTTGGTATAACTGAAGAAGGTAATGGTCTACGTTATCTGAAGGATTTGTTTGAACATTTGTGTAAGGGTTGTCGTTGGCTTCTCTTGAAAGAATTTGGTCCAGTGGTGGATACTCTAACTTAACATCTGATGTAGCGTTAGCGTTTGAAGCTGAGTTTAAATTCACGGATTTCAGTTCTGGTTCTTTTTCTTTCAAACACTCTGAACTATAGTTCTTTATGACAATATTGTTTGTCGTTCGTGAGTCAACATTTGATGTTGGTTCAATTGGAACATTAACGGCACCAGCTAAGATGGATTTGCTTCTCATTTCATATAGAATAAAAACCTTTTATATGTATGAAATGAACAATATACTCGACAAGGGTTTGAATGTAAAGCTAACGAATGAAAATATTGTTGAATTCACTGAGACAGGTGCTGTGTATAAAGATGTAGAACTACTGAACAAAAGAGCTAAGGGAAGAAGCAGGAACATGAACAAAGGGTGGAAGCCTATAAAAATTTATGTCAATGATGGCTCAGGAGGTTCAAACATAAAGTATGCAGAAAGTTATAGAGTTTATGCTCTCAAAGGTGAAAAGCCTTCATTTAAGAACAGCTATTCTAACGCATATCCTCAAAAGCTAACGGATGGGAAGTGGATGATATGAATGACAGCAAAAATATTAACAGAAATGGCGACAGAGATGCATGGAATTTGTTTACCATCAGTCAATTGAAGGTTAAACTTTAAAACAATGTTGGTCGTTCCCATGGAATATTTTTGACTTTAATGGTATTAGTCATGATATGAATCTCAAGGTATGAACGAGGAGAGATGAGAGACTTATATGCTTCCCAAATTTCTTCAAAAGGTAATGTTATACCTGACTGTTTCCAAATGAGTTCAATATCATAACGTGAGAAACCTTGAAAGATAACGAAGTCAGTTATGAGACGTTTTATGTTTAAAGCAAGAAAACGCCATGTTTGCATAAGTATTGCTACAGTTAAGTGGTAATGTCTGACTTTAGTAATGATGTTAGCTAATGGTGAGTCAGGCTTTGACACTAAACCTTTTCCGGCGAAGTCGTCGCAAACGAGCAGAGTATTTGAAGGATACTTTTTGAAGGGGTATTTTGAAAGTTTTGACAGAATGTAGTTTGTAAGTCGTTTCATATCGTAAACTCCTGAGTATTGACGTAAGTGGTGTTTGTCAATAATTCTTTCCATCTCTTCTGAAGTCTTTTGCATTCCTGACTGTATAAATTCAACGATGGCATAATATTTCCTCTTACGTCGAACGTAACGTTGAAGAAATTCAATGAGTTCGCTATCTGGAACTTTAACGACAGATGCTTGAACTTTTGACATAAATGTTTTCGCTGTTGAGTCCATAGAGTCTGAAGTTGCTGATATAATGATTTGGTCATAATATGAATCTTGACTAAACGCTCTGTTATGAGTATATGACGAATGAGGTTAAATGTCTTACCTGAACCCATCTTTCCACAATAGAAATACACACCATTTGAACAGAATTCATAATCTTTGCTGAAAGGAAGAATGAGAGAAGAGTTAAGTTTGTCTGTAGTTTCATTCATGTCTTCATCTACGTCATGTATTAAATGCTTCATTTTATCTCCATTAAAAATGCAAGTCAGAAATATTCAGAACATAGCACCGAGTCTAACTGACAAGAGTATAAAGATATACTATGAACACGTTATGATGAAACCAACCAAAATTCAAGAAAGTCAGTATACTTATGAATATCCAAGACACTGGGTAGAGTATGTAGGAGGTGAGAAAGCTATTGAAATCAGACAGGTTCGAAGTATTCCAGCAGGAAGGACAATATTATTGAAGAACTTTAATGTTTTGAGGTATAATGATGAAACAAAGAAGCAAGATAGTTTTCCCATTGCTGTGTATGTGAACCTAGACACAGGAGATGACATGAAAGTTTTTAACACAAAGCTTCAAACGGTAGTGAGAGAACAACTGACTGCGGAAGGGCATCCATTACCTTCAGAAGTTACCATAGCATATAATTTTGAAACAAACTCAATAGATTTTAAAGTCATCTCTGCAAAGAAGTCAGGTTTTACATTTAATGAAGCAGATGTA